TTGCAGCAACGAGGGAGATTATAGTATATTTTTAAGATACTTTATCTAGAAGGGAATCTTTTGAAAATTTTAATTTGTTTCAACGCGACTAATCTGCCGAATTTGTAGCACTAGTTGTGGGTTACATTGCGAGAGAATCAAACACTAACGAATTCTAATAATATCCGTTTAACGATTCGGTCTGTTGAACATTATTCAGATATTTTTTTGCGTGTAATCTTTCATATTCGCCACAAGAGAAAAGAAAGTTCTCCTCTCTGAAAATTGCAGCCGGTTTGAGGCAGTATACATAAATATACGGTAAGCGGCACTATGTTTTGCCTCGACAAGAAGATAACGACGCTTAATTGCATAAAGCAATATACGGGGATAATAAAAGTGCCCGCAGCACTTGGTGGCTTTCCCGCACCACTTGCTACTCAACACGATTTTCTCGTCAGTTAATGCCTTCCATTAGAATCGTTAGGCCAACGTCCCTATCAGCTTAAAATTTCCGTGATTATTTAAATGCCGCTTACGATAATCGACGAATAATTCTCCCACGAGCGCTGTCGGATGCTGTTATTCACGAAAACATCGAAGATGGAATTCACTTTCCTTGAATTCACATCGACCTCAATTCCTCTGCGAGAATTTTTACGTCAACCTTGAAAAAAGTAATTCAGAATTGTACGTATGTACACAATAAAAAATTTGGTGTTAAAAACGGTCCATTGAAAATTTTTTATTATTTTAACATGAGAAAATTTGTTGACAAATACACAAATATAATGTTAAATTAACACACTTACTTTGTCAATATATATTAACAAGATGCTAATTTAACGTTATATTTGTGTACTTTTTAACGCATTCCCCGTGTTAAAATAGTACCAAATTCCAGTGAGCCGTTTTTAAAACGAAATTTTTTACTATGTAATAGAAAAACCGTGTTTCGCCAAATACAAAATTCACAATTGATTGCGTCAACGCAGCAACCGGTGCGCTCGTGCTCAACGATCAAATTTTTCCGTGATATGCGAAGAGAATTATCTTTCGACTCATGTCGGTTAATAGCACGATTGCACATTCATTCGCACGTACATTCTATTTCGCGATAGAACGGCAAGAATCAGTGAAATCGCACGTCGCGAGTTTTTTCTATAAATGTGAGCGCATCGGATGTCATTGATGCGACAGAATTGCCCGATACGAGTACGATACGTTATCGAACATAAATGTTTGCGCACAATGAACTGGATGAAAAACAACAAATTATTCAAGTAATCTTGATTGACCGGCCGTTAGAAAGGGAAAATAACCATTTCCAATATGTCTTATATGCGCACAGGCAGGAAGAGTGAGAAAGGGAAGAGGGAGTTCGTATATAAAATAAAGCAGAGACAAATAGGTAAAGAGGCGACTCGAGTGTTTTCCATATCGTCATTCAGGGAGGATATTCAGTGGATTTCAGGCAGTAAACTTAGTTTGCCTAATTCAATTTCAATCGATGCCGAGCCCGAAATTCAGCGAGGATGCTCGCGGTGAATATCTCGGGACCCAAGAGAGGTGGACCCAAAGCTCTCTCGGAGAAAAGTGGAAGACGTACGCCTTCTTGTCTCCTTCTTGTCAAGTCCCGTCTACGGTTTATCCGCCGTGACTGTGTTCGTAACACAGCGCATCGCGAGGACGAAGCAAAATTCTGCGAGCGAAGCGCGGCTGGAGGGGACAGCCTTTCTCGTCGGAGAGCATCGTGGATGCGCGCACTCGTATTGAAAAATTTAATATTGTTCATCCGCGGAGATCCCGGCAGCAAACACAAATAAATAATACAGATACCAATGAGACGGGCGCGACGGTGGAAAAATATCGGTCGTAAATTAAATCTTACAAATACCGAAATTCACGGCATAATTAATGTCAGCCATCTCTCCGTGCGCCTGCATGCGATTCTGTTTATTAATATTCATCGTCCTGCAATCATATCGTCCCGTAAGTTACATAAACGGCAAAAATAAACACAGATGCAACGCTCACTCGCCGGTGCGTGTATCTCTCTTGCCGAGAGAGAGAGAGAGAGAGAGAGAGGAATTTAATATTCATCGGCGCAGAGAGCTTCCTATCGTAACGCCCGGCACAAAGGATCGTCGATTTTGTTATTACGGTCTGGCGTTGTTCAAATCAAATAACACAGAGCGATGGAAACCGTCGTGGCCGGGTCGTTTTCAATCTCCTATCGTCCGTTCCATTATTAAAACACGTCACTAAAACACGTATCGATGATGGACGTGCGGGCACCGCCCGAAATTTCTTGTACGTCGGTGTAATTCAAAATTTATGAACGCGCCGCGATCATAGAGAGTCGGTGGCCAGTATTTAATATTTATTGAATCCTGGCCGCGCGTAAGGTTCGATCCCCGTATATAAGCGCAAGGGTCAAAGGAACACCGAGGATCCGTTATGGTCCCGGGTTACCGTTTCAATATCGGGAGCGCGTGGAAGGTCGCGACAGGATACGTGACGCGGGGATTTTCCAGTGGCTTTTATGTCGGCGACTGTCGGTGTCGCGCGACACGCGGACGTGGACCAACCCTCGTAAACTCATTCGGGCCGTTTCATATCGGACATTGTGACGGATCGCGAGACGGTTTAACGGTGCTTAACCCTCCGCGCAACGTCGTACCCATCAAGATCGTACGTGTCGCGTCGTTCCCAAAGGACGACGGAGTTTTATCTTCAACTGATTTCCCCGCCGGCGTAATCGACGATAACCTTCTTCCCCCTCCCCGCCTTTTCGTTACATGAGCGATACCCGTTTTTTATCAAATCTTTCTTTTTTATGCGCGATGTTCTTCTGCTCCTTAGGAGGTTACCGAGGATACACGGAGGACTTAAGGATTCGAAATGAAACACAGAGCATCTAGCGTCTGTGCCTCTTGTTTCTTGCGCATTCTCCTTTTATATTTCACCCTGCCTCTCTCGATGTCTTCCCGTCTAAATCCGCACGCTTGTGACGAACGCGAACACGGAGGTCGCGCTCCGCTCCACCGTGGAAACACATTTTCGACGGTGATATAAAGGCAAATGAAAAATGTCGACCCCTCTCTCTTACGCGTTACCTGACTTATACGTCAAATATATTACAGCGGATACATATACCTACATGAATATGGAATGCTCGCGGGATTTGCTGGATTTGATATTCGTCCGTGTTCGGTTTCCTTTCCCGCCGACAATTTTATCGCACGTCACGCTAAGAGCCCGTTAATGTGACTCAATCTTTTATAGGACATTAGTCAAATTTCAATTGCAATTTCGGAAAGAATAACGATAATCTTTTTCTTACCCCGGGGTTTGCGTAAGCTGGATCTTTTATCCGTGCTTTGATCACTCGCTGTGAAATATTCAGAAATTATGTCTTCGCGATCTATTTATAAAACGGATTCTCACTCTTCTACACGGTGAAAAACATTTTGTACTTGTATTGAGATCGGTCCTTGTTGACATTTTTTGTTAAATTTTTAACATTCTTATGTGTTAATCTAATATATTGTGTTTATGTTATCTGAACATTTTGTATTGTGTCCATATTCAATATATGTAAATGTTAAAATAACACATTTTATACTTTAATGTCGACTAATATATTAATTTTGTGTTAATTTCCGACATATTTTTAATTGCTTTTCAACATATTCACTTTGTGTTTAATTAACACAAAAATTTGAGTAGATCTCTTAGGACATGTGAAATGTGTTAAATTTAATCAAACACGAAATTTCTTACTATGTATAATCAAAGAGCTTTCGAGGGAGACGTTACTGTGATGTTTCTTCGCTGAATTCATTTTTTTTCCGTGTCAAGAAGTGTTATACGTACAATCTCCGGTAAAATAATTTTTTGCAACGTTCATCCACTCGTCTGTTAAATCGTGCATGAGAAATCTCTCGTGCAAGCGAACGATGTCACTTCAAAAATTTCATGCGATCACTCATTCTGAATGTCGCGGCACTCTCTACATGAAGGAAAAATCAACATCCGCGAGAAACGCGCGCAGTTCTTCGTTCACGTCAACCTGCGCGGTGCCGGCGGTAGCCCACGGCGAAAAACGTGGCGTACGGACGCACGTGTCGTGGTAACGAGCGTCGAGGAAAAGTTTAATAACCCTTCTTAGGCAACGATGCGGACGCAACAAAAATAATTGACGCAAAACCGCCCGACAATCGTCTTCGCGGGCGTTTTCCTCGTGATTTATGTCTCATCGTCGGGAAACTCGTCGGCCAACTTGCAATTTTACCGGCTATTAGCTCTGTGTGTGATACATCTTTCACGGATTAGCGTCTTATCAACGCTTTATATCAAAGCTTCGACCGTCGCTTCGCACGTGTAAGAATGATGCCAATAATTCCTTGCAATTTTTAGCACTTGCGAATATGGCTGACGACTTTATCTGCTTAATTCGCTTAATTCGCATATTCATGTATTCGTCATTTGTACGCGAGCAGTATTGGGACGGATCTAGATAATTATATCTTTGGTTTGGAAAATATCTAGTAACTCTCGATCCAGGGAATGACTAGGCATATATATGCAAAATATTAGATGTTATTACTTTCTAATTTCCGAGGAGAAAAGAGACATTCAATTTAATACATCGAAAATCAGATTTCCTCTATATAAAGTTTTAATTTAGATTATCCTGTGCATAGTAGTTCTTTTAATCCTATGATAAAAATCATGAACATATGAATATTGTCGTGTTTTCGAGCGATCTAACGTTTCGTTGTAATCCTCGCTGTAACTTCGATGTTCCGCATCGATCTCGGGGAGATCTATTGTGAATTTATTGTCGCGTTTCTGCTACCGTTTTTTCTCGTGAATATTCGAGCATGGAATCGAAGTTTCACGAATGGATGTTACACGGCGTCCTTTAATTCGGAAATAGAACGGTATAATATTTAAAACATTGACACAATGCAAGAGTGTGATGGAATAATAGCATTCTTCTTCTCTTGTTCCAGGGAACCGTCCAATAGAAACTCATCCACAGACGTCCCAGAGGCAGCCGGCTTCGGTGAGTTCACCACAGTCAATTTTTTTGCGTTGCTTGACTAGTCTCGTAAACCCGATTGCCCGAGTAACAATGAAAGCGAGCTTTTATGCTCCGCGATTGCTGCAGTAAGAAATACCGTTCCTTTATGCGCAGTCTTTCTTTTCGCGAAATCTATTGTATACTCGTATATGTACCGAGAGAGAAAAATGTCGAGAGTTTTTTTTTCGGACTTCGTCCAAAGAACCCGCGGCGGCCACCTCGAAGTTCACGAAACACGGGCAATCCTATTAACGCGCGATCGGCCTCATCGAGATTCCGCGCTCATGCGGAATCGATCTTTCACCGTTTGGCGCGCAACGACGGTGATGATTAACGCTAATTTGTACGTAAGGACGACGAGCTCCGTGTCGTAAAGCTTCGTAATTGCGAGTGCAACGCGCCGCGACAATGCGCCGCGCTCTAACAAGCCGAGTTGCAGCGATAACCGTGTTTGCAGCGCCAATTAATTTATTATAACAATTCCACCTTTCGGCTGCTAAACAATGTCGACGACGCGAGGAATTACGCGCCGCGGAACTGCGTACCGTACGCGTGAGATTGCTCTCTCCGTGTGTGTGTGTGCGGGCGGTGCGCGTCTGCGTATAATAATTCTGGAGCGTCGTAATTAATCCGCTATTGACTAAAATGCGAAATTGCGCCATTATCAGGATCCCCCGTAATCCCCCGAGTTGCTGTTTTACACGCCCGACGGGCAATTGATGAGCTTTTTGGGAGAACGACTTAGCTTCCCTCGTTTCCTGAATTAAGTTGTCGCTTTGGAGAACTCGTGAAGTATTATACAAGGGGTCTCGGAGGCATCCGAACACGCGAATTTTATACACGAATCTCATGACATTAAGAGTAGATTATTTGATCGACTATTCGGCAAACATATTTATTATATTATTCGTCTCATTTTTCTGGGATTTTTCACTTAGCAGCTTTCTTTAATTAAAGGATTGATAGTCAAGATGCTGAATTGATAGTCAAAAATTATGAAAACTAAAAAACGACCCGGGACGAGAAAATACTGGTTCTCCTTTTTCCTTTCGATATTCCCGGTAGTGAAAAATTCGCCTCGAATTAATAAATACAAAAGAATAGAAATCAAAGGATTTATAAATAGAAAGTGGCTTGTCAAGTCTGTGAAATAGCCCATTTTCGTTGGTAGTTACGTAATATTTAATGATCGGCACGTACATGTACCATGATCGTTCTTCGCGTAAGCGATCGTTTCTTCGAAATTTCAAAGAGTATTAAACCGGAAACTGCGAGGGCGGAATACGCGGCCGCTCGGAGGAACATCGTGTCTAATGGCTCGTAAAATTGAATGTCGCGCACATCGGGTGGGAATAATAATTGATAATAACTGCGGAATAACGAGAGTGCCGCCTACCTGGCTGTCAATCATGACGTGTCCCTTCATCGTCGAATTCTCATGTGTCTGACAGAATTGAAGGTGTCAATATTGAATAGCCTCAAAGCCAATGAATTCCATCGAATTGAGTTAATTCTCCACAGGACGTTTGATGACGATTTACCATTCAAGTTTGTAACATTCCTATTCCTATTATGTTAAAAACTGTCAAAAACTGACGTACGTTTGGCAATTTCGAATTTTGGAATAATTTCACGACATAAGTATTATTTATATTTAAATAAATAAGTAGAAGAGGGGGTAGTATTATGGCACTCTCTTTACATTTTATACAATACTTTGTTAAATAATCAATATTTTAAATTGAAAACTTGACGATTACATTTGTCAGTGTCGTTCAATCGATTCTAGACTCAAAGTTATGGAATATTTATTACTTAGGACGTTATTTATAAAAATGTGGTGACAAAACGGTGTTTTATTACAATTTTATGTATTTATTCAAAATAAACTCTTTTGGAAGAAACGGAAATGAATATAATCGTGAATTTTTAATGCTGACTTGCTTGTCAAGATACAAACTATCAAAAAGACAAGTTTTACAAAACGAATAGACTTTTAAACTTAACTTGAATTACTGATTTATGAAGAATAATTACTTCAACACGAAATCCTCGAGAAAGAGGTCGTGTTAAATCTATTTTAATGGGAGACCAATTTAGCAAAAATACCATATTATTATTTAACTTTGCATAACTCTGTATGTACATAACAAAATAAAATATTAAATAACAAGAAAAACACTCAAATATACATATATTTGTGTAATAATATAAAAATAAGAAATAATGAAGAGAAGAATAAGAATAAGAAAAATGAGAAAATGTATATATAATTAAGTGCTAAAACATTTCGAAATGCTCGAAAGTAAAAATGCGTTATAATAAATGCCATTGTGAATTATCATGTTATCGTCACTATCGGTGGTCTATTAAAGAAATGATTTCATAAATAATCGTCAGAATTCGTTACTTAATAACAGAGACATTAAGGGAGGCCATAATATTTACAAGGACCATACTACCATCTTATCCTCTATGTTTTCAAAACGTACTAATTACATATTAATTCTTTCTCAAAAATGCAACGTCTCTTTGTCAATATTCTTTTAATCCGCGAATTCGAATGTAAAAAATTATTTGTCACGTGTCAATCGCTAACACTGGCGTTAGCCTGTAATCATCAGCTTCTCGACTCGACTTGTCAATGTTGATCGAACGTCAATATCCGCGTTAAAAGACGCGCTGGGCATTCATCTGTCGCGAGTTAGCGTGTTTCCGGTCGACGCACGATGCGTTTAACTGCGTCTGGAGGGCAGCGGGCGCTACGGGGTGGTCGAATAGTAGAAGGATTAAAGAGGCCGCGGGGGAGAGGAGGGGAGAGGGGAGTGAGAGATGTGTCGGTACACTGCTGCAAAAGCAACGACCGGGGCTGACCTGAATCTACGGGCGGCGCGATGAAAAGGGAACGACAAAAGCTGCGGTCTGCGGGACGAGAGTGAAAATACCAAAAATAGGCCGAGACCCTATACGTACGTACGTAAGTACGTAGGTTCATACTTCTGTAAGGGATTGTAGCGTGCGTACGATCGCATGGGAAACACGGCGGAGACTGCAGCTGCGGTCCACGCGCCATTTAATCCGTAATTACTCGCGCCATGACATAAACGTATGAATCCACTCGCGTCGCGCCATAAAGCTATGAATCTATTCGCGTCGCGCCATACCATACCGTGAAAATGCGAATGCACTCTGTGAATTTGCGAGAGAGAAAGAGAGAGAGAGAGAGAGGGAGGACGCTGTTCTCGATCATTCTGCCCGAGTAATCTCACGGTGGAAACGTGGTGGAAGCTGGTGGAAGCGAGCCGAACGAAAAGGCAAACACGCGGAACATAAAGCGCGAATCCCGTGGAAATAGCGTGCACGGTTTGTTTTTAATTTAAGCGCAGACAAGTTCCGAAGATAAAACGGGAAACGGGTTAAGTCGCGTCCAATATTCATATCTCCGTGGCAGACGATTGTTAATGTTTAATGTCGCCCACCTGCGCCCTCTTTCGCGACCATCCGTAGCGCAGTGGCGTAAGTAACGAGGCTGAGGAGAGGACGAGAAAGGTGAAGGAGGTAGAAGGAGGAGAAGGATACGGAAGGATATCGGATTCACCGGGGTAATCGAGACCGACGCTGTCGAAAGTAAAGGGCGAAGGGTGCAGTAAGTGCGCTTGGAGGGGGGTCGTGAGTGGGTGGATGGAGGAAAGGGAAAGGGGAGCACCTGAGAGCGCGTTAGTTTTACGTCATTGCTGCGGCACGTCGGAACCTCGAGGATCCGAAGGCACCCGCCGCCGCTGCGGAGATTCCGCGGTTTCGGCTGCGGCAAATTAGTTCCGTTCGAATTTCATGTCTCGCAATCCCTGGGCACGCGAAACGTCAGAAAGAACGTCGCTCGTAATGTGTGTATACGGCCTTCCTGCGCATCTTCACCTTCCATCCCCGCCTCTTTCTCCTCGTCCCGCGGGGATTCTCGCGAACGTGAGAGCTTTGCATGTCGGCGATCCGACGTTCTCTCTCTCTCTCTCTATATGTGCTTCAGATTTTTAAGCAAAACATCACGCGCGGTCTGGATCGAACGGCGATGTCACGCGGGCGCGCGGCGGAAGCGTTATGTCTCTTGGGTTTTCCGGCGACGGCGATGCTGAAGGAGGAACCATAACCTGACGAGGTCGCGTATACACACGCGTTGTAAAAGTGAAGCACTGAAAGTTTCTAATGAGATAAAGATAGACGCTATAATTTACATAAAACTCTCTTTCTCTCGTGGGCGAACACGAAATCGTGCACACGCGAACAACACGAACGCAACGCAGAGTTATTTCCTATTCGTGGAGAAAAATTAATTAGAGCTTCCTTCTCTCCCGAGCTCTGCGCACTCGTGGTAATTTTTCATTACCGCCCGTTGTGCTGCGAAATCGAACTTTTTTTTTTATTGAGAACGGAGAGCGTAAAAGTTGGCGGTAGAACTTCCGCATTCAGGTGTGCTTACAAAAGAGGCCTGTCCCGGTTGTTACTACAATGAGCAGCGAATTCAAGCAAGAAACTGATGAACTGGTTGTTGATGATCTTTTTTACTTCTCCTCCTTTGTTTGATGATGTACCGTTTCGTTTTTCTTATTTATGATCTAATCATAATGATCATCAGTCGTGATTTAATCGTGACATGTCTAAGAATCGTAAATCTGTATATGTGTTGTACATTTCACACCGTGCGATCGTTCTGATTTCCCGGATTCGGTATCGTTTGCGACGTTTTGTTCGACGTTCCACATCGTAAAGACGGCGAGTTTCGTATCGCCTCGTTAAGCCCGCGAATTAAAGCGACGATCCGGTGCATGGCTGGCTGACTGTCTCTCCTTCCTGCGGAATTGAGCCGTTTAGGTCTACATTTCGTCGGGAATTTCCACCGGCGAAGCCGCGTAATAGCTTTCGGTAGTTTGAACGCCTACAGAGGTAATTTGTTTCGGGGGGGCGAGGGAGAGAAGGGCGGGAAGCCG